CCGTGACAAATAGGCTGGCTGGGCAATGTAACTCCTAAAGCATCTGATGTGTATGTGTTTGGTCCTTCCATAGGGGAAACATGCCCTGCAATATAGTCATATGGTGTGGATGTCTCGGTTAATGATGGTGGATGGGGTGCAGTATGTACTGATATATGTGGGAAACTCGACGTGGATGATGATTCTGCATGTACTACGAATGGTGTCTGTGGATGGTGAGGTGCACTAAGTCATATTGTAGGCTCTGGTACACTTGTGTCTAGTTTTGTGTCGACACCGATATCTACTGAAATATCTGGTCGGTGACATGCAAGTCTATGTCGTCGTATAACAACACAATGAGGCTGCGTAGGTACATCGGGTGGTGCACGTGGTGCAGTGTGTGGTATAGGTGGAGGCTCGGCCTGGACGGTACTATGGAGATGATGGTCTTCTTGAACTGCCTTGAGGCAAGTGGGGCTAAGAGATCGGGTGGCCCGCAGTACGTGTGCATGTGCTGCGTCTGTACCATCCTCAAGGGCATCTTGTGCGATCTGGTGAATCTGTACAAGTGTACGCTCTTGTAAATTTAAAAAGAAGTAACATTAGGATAATATCAATTATGTATTTGTAAATGATGCTTATAATGACAAATGCACTTAGTTATTATCTTACCAATATCTCGACTATGCCACCTATAGGCTAGAATCCGATAAGTGGTCTATCTAATGGAGGGTCTATCAATCGTACCACTCCATGTACATGCGAAAACTCATATCGGTCACAGATGTATGTGTCTCCCCCGCAATGAGATGCTCTCGCCGATGGATCTAGACATCTACGCAAGACTAATGTACAAGACTCCAGTTATAACCACCCCGACCGCATCGATCAGTAGCATGAAGAGCAGACCCAATGTCGCATGGCTCAAGTATGACCTGTCTCAATCTTAACTAGTGCATGACATGATCAGGGAAATGCCACTCTTCTACTGCAAAACATATTAGTGGTGCACGTGTCATCCATATGTCGCTGCCAATGCTATAGTATGCTGGTAAGTCTAATATAACCTCTATAATATATGACATCCACACCATCTACAACAAAACAAATATGTAATATAAATGTTAGTGTAAACACGTTTGCCATTATAATCTACTCTACGTTGGTGTACAATTCGAACATGTTCATCGCGCATCTGGTCTAGCTGATCTTTATAATGTCTAAGGATGTGTCTAGGCTGTGTACATATGATGTTATATGCACATTCCACCTGCAACACAAAACAATTCATTTCGATCAATGGTGAAAAAAATACATTAGTACGCTCAACTAGTAATTCCTCGTTACACACTTGCGGACCCCGAGGTAATGGAACATGATGGTCAAGAATCTCCTCTGTAGCAGTAAGTACATTTACAACAATCCCAACATCATGCCCCTTTGGGACATGAAACACTTCAAATATATCTGTCGTTGTTGCCTGATGAGGTAGTACTCTCTCAGGACGGATATGCATAAGTTGTTCCCATGCCCATAACTATTCAATTAAATGTAACATAATATTTAGCGATCCTCCAAAGTAACGTTACTTATAATTACATATAAATGTAACAATACCTATAATATAACTAGCGGTCCTCCAATGTCAGATACGTCAGGTGCAGTGGTGCGACACATCTCACGGTAAAAGCACAACACTAGCCTAACTCAGTCTCCCTGAAACATCTAGGTCCTCAAGATGCTGTAAGTACATAAGTCCAACCTTGTTTTGGGACTTGTATTAAAAAATGTAAGCCCTAATGAGAAGCAAAATAGGCATGGGCATATCGATTAATGTTAATCGCATCAGCATCATCTCGTAGCGACTGAGCAAATGTAGCAGCCAGAGTGGTTATCTTAAGTCGAGATCTAGAGAAAGCATTGTTTGGTGGTTTAATGCCTAGATGCTGGTTATAGTAATCCTGTCACTCCTGCACGGTACAATGTGTGTCAACTCCAGTCACTGCATCACCATCAATGGGGAGTTTAAAAAGTAGTGTCATGTCTTGCAATGTAATCGTCGTCTCGCCAATGGGCAAATGGAATGTATAGATCTCCACCCTCCACCGCTCCACTAGCGCAGTGACCAAATGGTGGTTGAGCTATATAAACCCAATATTGTGTATCTCATAAAAGCTGACAGTCATAACACGGCGCAAATACCCTATCATTAGAACATCGCAAGCATCGCATAGTCGCCTCAGCCTGACATCACTTCAATAGTGCTAATTTCTTTAATAATTACATACAATCATAAAAAAATAATTTGTGGGTTAAACTTAGAATATATGTTTTGTAGGTAGAAAATTATGTGCCTGTCCATCCAAGAACTGTGTGGGGATAAGATTCAACTAGTAAGCTATTTTATTATATAAATTTATAGATCGGATATATCTATTTTATTCTATAGATTTATAAAAGGTCTTTAGATATATCCAGTACCTAAAGACACTTTATAATATTAAAAATCAAATATTGATTGCACAATATTTTTATATTTTAAGTAACATATTTTTTTTTTTATAGTTACACAATTTCAAATTAAAACGAACAGAGAGAAAATAAGAAAGAGGTAGGTGTAGATTATTGATGTTGTCTGACATTTGGAAGTTTTTTAATTGATTTTTTGACATTGAGGATCGTGTAGAGAAGATGATTTTTTTAGCAGGGAAAAAAATTGTGATAAATTTTATACCATTTTATCAAAGTAGATAAAAATTAATTTAGTCTTGACTGTTGTAGTACTTTTATAAATTAAGAATTCAACTTCTCAACTATAATATTAGATAGAGAAGGAGTAATCCCATGCTTGAAGATACTAAATAATACTAAAAATTGAACATCAATCATGTGATATTTATATTTTAAATAATAATTTTTTTACTTTTATTTTTTTAATTATTTAATATAAAATTAAAATAAAAATAGATAAAATAAGATAAATATAAGGGAGAGAAGAGACAGAGGTATGTGTGAATTAATAGGGTTATTTGACATTGGAGAATGTGTTGGTTGAGTTCTCCAACATTGGGCCGTGCATAGAAAATAATGTTTTCAAGTAGGAAAATAAATTTGAGGATGAATTTTGTACCATTGCATTAAAATAGATAAAAATTAAATTAATCTTAACTATTATTGTGCTTTTTATAAGTTGATAGTTTAACTTCTTAACTATAATATTAAATAGACATATATGTTTATGATCAAATTAAGTGATTATTTGATAGGATTAAATTAAATTTTAATAAAATTCAATTAGAATTAAATAAAATTCTAAAAAAATATCTAATTGTATTGTTTGGGTAAAATTAAATTTTTGAATAATTTTTTGAATTTTTTAAATTTAAATTTTATTTTCAAAATTTAAATTTTCAAATCTAAGTTTAATTCGGACCCAACTATGCAACTTTCTAGTATTTGATTTCTATAGTCAAATATTATTACCCCCCTTAGTGTGACACCTATTTTTTACTTTTCAACTAATAAAAATACCTTATGATAAAAATCTATACTATTTATACATGTCAATATTTGTGAAATTTTTTTAATTTTCTATTTTATTCATAATTTTTATTAAAAAATTAATGATACTCATATATTAGTTTCCTCTAATTTTTATTTTCTATTACTAGTTCACTTCTAAGTCATTTTGAACTATTTTATTAATAGTATTTGATTTCTAAATTTTATATTACTTTGGTTCAATTTTTATTTCACATATCTATTTGATTTCTAATTTCTTTTAGACTCTTTTATNAAAAATTAATGATACTCATATATTAGTTTCCTCTAATTTTTACTTTCTATAACTAGTTCACTTCTAAGTCATTTTGAACTATTTTATTAATAGTATTTGATTTCTTAATTTTATATTACTTTCGTTCAATTTTTATTTCACATATCTATTTGATTTCTAATTTCTTTTAGACTCTTTTATTAATCATATATGATTTTAAAATTCTTTTGGACTTGTTTTTAAGTAGTACAAGGGTATACAATTTTCTATATATATGTCTATATTTATATGAAAAAATAAAGTTTAATTTATATTATATTATTCTATAGTCAAATATATGTTATATTTAATTTTTTTTGGTATACAACAGTATTATATTATTACAATNTAGTAGTACAAGTGTATACAATTTTCTATATATATGTCTATATTTATATGAAAAAATAAAGTTTAATTTATATTATATTATTCTATAGCCAAATATATGTTATATTTAATTTTTTTTGGTATACAACAGTATTATATTATTACAATACAAATAATAGTATTGTAATTTAATCAATTTTTTTGATAAAAAATATAATAAATTTATAATATAATTAGATGTACAAATATTCAATAATAAAAATTCATTATAAACTAAATAGAAAATATCTAAGGAGTCGGATAGATATCTAAACAAATAACAAATTATATACCCGAAGAAAAGTAAAATAGATCAATAATTAAGTTTGACAATAAATAAAATCAAAATTAATTAAAACTACATAATTTATTATTCAAATTAATTACATATAATTTTAAATTTTTATATAAAAAATATTATTTAAATAAATTTATGTATACCTTACATTGTATATTGTTAGTAATAATAATAACATGTCACCTATATAATTTTTTTAAATAAATAATTATAATTATTGAATTCAAAATTAAGAGGCAAAATTAATAAAAAGTAGTTTAACCTTACCCAAAAGCAAAAAGTAGTTATCCACGAGGACGACGAGAGTCTTCTCCATAAAGTAACCCCCAAATAAAAAAAAAAACAACACATCACACCACATGAATAGAAACTGTTCGCTCAGATTTCGATTTCCGTGTCAAGCAAGCATTCACTCCACTGAGGTTTCTTAACCGATGGGCAACAACACCCAAAACCCAAAATAGCCAATCCCCAACAAGCTTTTGCTTGCTTCATTTCTAATCCTCTGACCTAACTTTTATCCTTCTTCAATCTGTTGGAAACCCCAACAAATTGATCCCTGAAAAGGGTCTTTCGGAAATCGTCTGTGCTGTAATGGGTCACGAAGTGGTTGCTGTGGCTCCATCGCCGCCGCCGCCGACGTCTTTGGCACCTGGGTTTAGGTTTCATCCCACGGATGAGGAGCTGGTGATGTACTATTTGAGGCGGAAGGCTTGTAGGAAGCCGTTTCGGTTCCAAGCTGTTTCCGAAATCGATGTGTACAAATCTGAGCCCTGGGAGCTTCAAGGTCTGTCTCTCTCTCTCTCTCTCTCTCTCTCTCTCTATATATATATATATATATATAT